TCCCACCTAAAACGTATCAACCGGGACGAGATCTAGAACAGAGCCGGAATTCTTCCATGGCGCCCGCCAATGATATCCCCTCCCCGACCCTCCCCGAGCCGACGCGGCGAACAAGCATGCGGCATGGCTAAAAATCGCGGCCCGAGCCCGGACCCCATCTTTCTGCGCCGCGCCTCGCGCCGAGGGCCCCATAGGGCCCGCAACCGGGCGAGCGCGGCCGCTGCGAGGAAGCTGCAACGCTCAGGCCTCGGCTACACGCAGGGAGTGACCCTAGGCTTAGGTCGGGCGTTTCCTCCTACAGTCGGGGCGTTGACCTAAGGAACCCTAAATAAGGAGCGAGGCCCCTTTTTTCCATACGTCAAACTTCGATTTGCTATCGGAAACATAAGGAAAACCTGAGGCAGGCTGTGAAACACTTAAGGAACGCGGAGCCCCTCCCCAACGAAAAGGGTTCCTTCTTCAGGGCCCCGACTGTACAGGCGGATTTGGGGCGAACAATAAAAAATAGCCAAACAAATATTCAAACCATGCTCAGGAGTATTCGTGAAACCGTCCCCATACCATCTTTTCACTGCTTTTGAATGTTCTTCCTGCCGAGGGGCACGCCCCACGCAACCCTAGGCAGGAGTGACCCTTGGCGCGCGACGTTCGGGGGCCGCGGGGAGGCCCAGCCCGAGCGCGCAGGACGCTGCCATCGCAGTGTGCCCCCCATCGTCTGGGGACCCCCCAGTGTGCCCGCACGAGAGGTCACTCCGGCGAAAGGTCACTCTTACGTTTAGGTCGGGCATGCTCCCCTACAGGCGGAACTCCGGGGAAAAATGAGGAACGGCCAAAAACATTGAAAAGTAGCCACGACAGAACGAATCGACAAAATCGTCGCCAGACCATCTTTGAACTATTTGTGAATACTCCTCCTGTAACCCAGACCCCCGACGTCATGATTTTTGAATGACGCGACCAGAGGTCTGGACCCATTCCCCGGGACTGGTTTTTCATCCTGAGTTGTTTTTTGACGGTCCCGAGGCCCGGTAAGGGCCCCCAGATGCTGAAAATGGCGAAAAACCTCCCGTCGTGCTTTTTCCCCGACGCGAGGGGGTCTGTGAAAGGGACATGCCCGACTGAATCTTACGTGCAGTGGGTCGGAGATCTCTGAGGGCCCGAACGCCCCCGAGGATCGGCGGCGGCCGGGAGGGGGGCGCCCACGAAGGGGGGGGCGAGTCATGGCCGGCGGCCTGTGCGAGGCCATGGCGGGGGCGCCAAGGACGCATGGAAACGAGAAAATCCAGACCCCCTCGGGTCATGAAAAATCTCGACGTAAGGCTTCACGCTGTCTTCGGCTTCGGGGGGCCCTTGCCGTGCCTCGCGACCGTCAAGATACGACCCAGGAGGAAGAACCAGTCCCGTGGAAGGGGTCCGGACCTCTGGGGGTCGCGCCATGCCAAAACATCAAGACGTCGGGTTCTGCAGGAGGCGCCAGGAGATCGCCCTGGGGAGACCTCGTGGCCCCCCTCGTGGCCGCTCCCGAGCCCACCCCCGACGTCATGATTTTGAAATGACGCGACCCCAATAGGTCCGGACCGGTTTCCGGGGACCGGTCTTTCATCCTGAGTCGTTTTTTGACGGTCCCGAGGCCCGGTAATCCGGAGAGACTTACAGGTACCACTACCACCATGGCTGGAGGGGCCGCTCCCTCCCCTCGAGCTGGTGGCACCTCCTTCCGGGAACTCTTTGGAGGCATGCCTGGAACGATGTGCCACCAGCTCGAGCGGGCGGGACAGTATACTGTCTCGTCTCTGGTGAGGCAAGCCCCCCCCCCCCAGGAGGCCGAGAACGGCGAAAACCCTGCCGTCGTGACTTTTTCCTGACCCGCGGGGGTCTGGGTCCCCAGACCCCCGACGCCATGATTTTTTCATGACGCGACCCCCAGAGGTCTGGACCCATTCCCCGGGACCGGTTTTTCATCCTGAGTCGTTTTCTGACGGTCCCGAGTCCCGGTAAGGGCCCCCAGAGGCCGAAAACAGCGAAAAACCTCCCGCCGTGACTGTTCCCTGACCCGCGGGGGTCTGGGTCGCGGCCGCCCCCGCGAGGAGCGCTGGGCCTGGCGCGGCGCCGTGCCCCCGGCGAGCGCCGCGCCGCCGCCCGCCGCGCCGCCGGCCGCTGCGGCGCCGGGCGGCGGCCGCTCCGCGGGCAGCCGGGCGGCGGCGGGCGGCGAGCGGCGGGCCGCGCCGCGGCCGCGCCAGGCGCAGGGCGGGAGCGCGGCGGCGGGGGCGGAGGACCTCGCCGCGCGGCGCTCCCCGGCGCTGCCGCGCTCCAGACGACCCCCCCGCAGGCTCGCGTCGTGGGGAAGCGTCGGGGCGGGGGAGGCTTCGGACCGCTCTCGGCCTCGCCGGGGGCCCTCGCCGGGCCTCGCGGGAGCGTCCACGAGCGCCTCGGGGCGAAGAAGCGGTCCCGGGGAGAGGGAGAGGAGGAGGAGGAGGAGGAGGAGGAGGAGGAGGAGGAG